AACTCTGAAGAATTTCTGAGGCTGTTTTCCACTACTGGGCCATCCCAGTGCGACTGTTTGTAGTTGTTGGGAGGAGTAGGTCTGGTTTCAGAGCCTGTTAGATTATCTCAGATCATGGCTCCGTCAATGAACTTCTGGTCCTGGATTCCAATCTTGTTCAGGGAGAATTGCTGCTGTAAGCCCTCTGGATTCAATGCATATATATATATATATATTATATATATATATATATATATATATATATATTATATATATATATTATGTCGTGCCGAATAGGCAGATCAGATCAGATCGGACTCACAGGTAAGGACCCACGATTGGCGAGGGGCAAGTGGGGACAGTGCGAAGAATAGACGGTGAGAGGAATGTCTTGAGTCGAAGAGAGAAGAGTCAGGACTAGACCCAACTGCTAAACCACAATAACGATAACAAAAGACGATGTAGATACAACAGGAGCTCTGCAGGCTCTGACTGCAACTTGCTGGACGAAAAATTGCTGCATCTTGATATTGATTGGCGGCTGGCAGGAGCTGGAGGAGTGGTCAAGGGTGGCAAGCTTCTTGATTGGTCAGGTGTCGTTAATATGTGAGTCTGGAGTTACTTCGTTTCTTTAGTGAAGGAGGCATTCCTTATGTTGTGCATTTGTTGGAAGGAAACGATAAGTAGTCTTGTAATCTTAGGTCGAAATGCTGGGTTGGCTTGTACTTGGTCCAATGTCATCTGGAGTGTAGTGAAGGAGCAGTGGGATCCTTTACGATTTGTAAACTTGACTGTTCTGTCGATTAATTTCTCGTACAAAGTGTCGACAGTCATGGTAGGTTCTTGGTCAGGAGTCGTATAAAAAGTTATATCTTTCCAGTGCAGGTATTGATCTCGATGTTGGTCTTCTGTATTAATACGTCGAGAGATAGCTGGAGAGGTTTTTGTTGGTGGTTGCAGCATTGAAGGTGCTTTCAATGTTGGTGTCTCCGCTAGAGAGTGTGTAGAAGACTGTGGGAGAATCGTGGCTTCTGATTGGTCCATATGAGTAGTGGTGGGTGGAGGTGAAGGAGGTACGCCGCCACGACGAGCCAATCGACGAGCAGGAGGCGATCGACGAATACGACGAATAGAAGGCCTTGTTGGAGTGACGTCACTAGGTGTTGGTGGTGTTGGAGCTGCTGATGCAGAAGTGTTGATTAGGTCCTTGGTGAATTTTAGTATTTCTTCCGAAGGTGGAGATGCTGGGAATATAAATGATGGCATATTATTTAGTGCAAATAACTCGTTGATGGTCGAGTTAAATGATCCAGGTACAGCCATGTTCTGCATGTGGGCGTATAGTAGACAGTAGTGGATCTTGGTGACGTCAACAACATAGACTTGGTTGATATATTAAGCTCCTTGACTGACTTAAATGATTTTAACATGGTTAGTTTTGATGTTACTTCCTTGTTTACGAAAGTTCCTGTTGATGATTTATTAAGTTTCTTATCTGAAGAACTCGTTAACTATGATTTACCATTGCCAGTTCCTACTATCATTAAACTTATTAAACTTTGCATTGTTGATGCAAAATTTGTATTTAATGATAAATTTTACACTCAGAAGTTTGGTATGGCAATGGGAAATCCTCTTTCACCTGTTCTTAGTAACCTATACATGGATTTTTTTGAAACAAGGTTACTTAACACAATCTTCCCTAATAGAGCTAAATGATTCAGATATGTTGATGATATTTTGTGTCTTATGCCCAAAAACGTAGATATACACCATTTCCTTGGAAAATTAAATAGCTTAGCCCATTCTATAAACTTTACTGTTGAGTTTGAAGAAAATAACTCATTGCCTTTTCTAGATGTTTTAATTATTAAGGGTAATAATGAATTCAAATTTAAATTTACAGAAACCTACAAATAACTGTTCCTATGTCCACTATTATTCCTCGCATCAAGATAGAGTCAAACTGTCTGTTTTCTCATCAATGTTTCTGAGAGCTTTACGAATTTGTAGTCCTGAGTTCATAGATGAGGAAATATCCAAAATTTATGAAATAGGTAATGATTTAAAATACCCAAGAAATGTAATTGATAAATCTTTTAAAGTTGCTAGAAATACTTTTTACAATCCAAAAAGGGACAACCAGCCTTATTCAACTAAAAATATGTTGGTTCTCCCTTACCATGAAAACTTGGTTGATATGCCTTCTCTTCTTAAGACTTTTAATATTAAAGTTGTATTCAAAAATCTTGATACAGTAAAAAAAAACTTTTGATAAAGAATTTCCCCCAAAATGCTGATGGATGTGTCTATAAGATTCCTTGTAAAATTTGCGATAAAGTTTATTACGGTCAAACTGGTAAAAATCTCGAACTAAGATTAAAAAAACATAAATATAGCATTAGAACTGGACAAGATTCCAATGCTCTATTTATTCATGTAAGAGATTTTAACCATCCAATTGATTTTCAAAAAGTTGAGAAAGTAGTATCAAGCAAGTCCATGGTCGACAGGAATATAATTGAATCTTGTTTCATAAAAAGCAGTTTTGACAATAATATGAATATTTCTCTTTGGTTTATATAAATTAGATCCATTTTATAATTAATAGAATTTGGGAAGAACTTAATAATACACTGGACAAAATTTTTAAATTTTCTTGGGTAGAATAGTTTGTGGGGTGAGTTGTGCAAAGGACCTATCCAAGTTGGGTCGGCGCGCGTCAGGTGTTTAACCGTTGTGGGATCTGATAGTGAGGTGCTGGCTGACCCCTTATATAGCTTCTTGTATGCTTTACTTTCATAGTTCCTTGATAATGTGAGTAGTCACGAAAGCGCTTGGAATTTCTCTATTTTTTCAGAGTGGTTGTTTTGCATATTATATTTATATATATATATATATATATATATTATATATATATATATATATATATATATATATATATAATATATATATATACATACATACATAAAACTTTGTGAATATTATGTTGGAATACTTAAACAAGATGGGTCCTACACAGATGACAGCAAGGAAATGAGTGAGCTACTCAAGTCCCAATATGACTCAGTTTTTAGCAAGCCGCTAACCAGACTGAGAGTCGAAGCCCAAAATAAATTTTTTTATGGGGAGAGCCAAAAAAATTTGACTAACACAGCCTATCCGATGTTATCCTGCGCCAAATGATTCGAACAGGCGATAAATGACTTTGCCCATGCACTCTGCCCCAGGGCCAGACTCATGGAACTCTGTGTTCATCAAGAACTGCAAGAGCCCCTATCACGAGCCTTTTCCATCCTATGGAGAGGGAGCATGGACACGGGGGTCGTCCCTCAGTTACTAAAAAAAACGGGACTTTGCCCCACTCCAAAAAGGGGGCAGTAAAGCAACAGCAAAGAACTACAGACCAATAGCACTAACATCCCATATCAAAAAAATCTTTGAAAGGGTCCTAAGAAGCAAGATCACCACCCATCTAGAAACCCATCAGTTACACAACCCAGGGCAACATGGGTTTAGAACAGGTCGCCCCTGTCTGTTCAACTATGGTCACTAGGGACAAGGTCCTAAATGCACTAGAAGAAAAAAAGAATGGCAGATGAAATTTATATACAGACTTTGCAAAAGCCTTCGAAAAGTGTGACCATGGGTAATAGCGCACAAAATGCGCGCTAAGGAATAACAGGAAAAGTCGGTTCGATGGATCTATAATTTCCTCACTAACAGAACACAGAGAGTAGTCGTCAACAGAAAAAAAGTCGAGGCAGCTACGGTGAAAAGCTCTGTCCCACAAGGCACAGTACTAGCTCCCATCTTGTTCCTCATCCTCATATCCGACATAGAAAAGGATGTCAGCCACAGCACCGTGTTTTCCCTTTTGGGCAGATGACACCCGAATCTGCATGACAGTGTCTTCCATTGCAGACACGGGCAAGGCTCCAGGCGGACATCAACCAATCTTTCAGTGGGCTGCAGAAAACAATATGAAGTTCAACGATGAGAAATTTAAATTTACTCAAAATTTTGGTTAAATGAGGAAATTAAATCTTCATCAGAGTACAAAACAAATTTTGGCCCCCAAAATAGAGCGAAACACCAACGTCAAAGACTAGGAGTGATTTTTGTCGGAGGATCTCACCTTCAAGGACCATAAATTGTATCAATCGCATTGCTAGAAAAATGACAGGATGGATAATGAGAACCCTTTAAAACTAGGGAGGGGAAAGCCCATGATGGGCACTCTTTAGGTCACTTGTTCTATCTAGGCTGGATATTGCTGCACTTAACAGCACCTTTCAAGGCAGGTGAAATTGCCGACCTAGAAAATGTTCAGAGAACTTTCACGGCGCGCTTAACGGAGATAAAACACCTCAATTACTGGGAGCGCTTGAGGTTTCTAAACCTGTATTCCTGGAACGCAGGAGGGAGAGATAACTGATTATATCCCTGGAAAATCCTAGAGGGGGCTAGTACCAAAAATTGCACCGAAAATCACTCACTACGAAAGCAAAAGACTTGGCAGACGATGCACCATCCCCCCAATGAAAGCAGGGGTGTCACTAGCACGTTAAGGACCTTTCAATAAGTGTCAGGGGCCCGAGACTGTTCAACTGCCTCCAGCCACATAAGGGGGATTACCCAAAAGACCCTGGAGTCTTCAGCTGGCACTGGACAAGCACCTAAAGTCAGTTCCTGATCAGCCGGGCTGTGGCTCGTACGTTGGTTTGCGTGCAGCCAGCAGCAACAGCCTGGTTGATCAGGCGCTGATCCACCAGGAGGCCTGGTCACAGACCGGGCCGCGGGGGCGTTGACCCCCGAAACTCTCTCCAGGTAAACTCCAGGTAAACTCCAGGAGAAGTTGATAAGTAACAAAAATTTGCAGAGTTTCAGAATAAAGGTACGTTACTGTTGCACATGTGTTCTAATTATTATTTATAGCCGAGATTGTCCTAGAGACTAAACCTCTTTACCACTCCGCTTCTTCAATAGTCTAGACTCTCTATGAACGTAATATTTAACAGGGGTGTCTGCGCTCTGGTGTACTTCGGACTATCCTTCAACACCAGCAGTCTGGGTGGCAATGTGTTTGTGGATTACATCTCCACAATGCTGGTCGAGATTCCATCGTACATCTTCATCTATCTTCTTCTTGACAAGTAAGATTTTCATTGATTGGTGAGGAAGGGAACAATGACATGTGACTAACCAGACCAAAAAGCATTTTAAGAAATGTCAAAAATATAAACTCTTATTTCTGAAAATATTATGAGGGTGATTATAACTCTTCAAACTTCAGAAACCATTTTTTAAGTGTTTTCATAATCTTAATTTATTATGTACTTAAAAACACATATTAGATATTCGCAGTTCAGCAAGATGTTAGAAAACGTCATTTATATAAACGATAACTGATAATTTTTAAAGGTCAAATGATTTGTACTTGTGTTTTAAAGGTTGAACCCACATGTTGTTATAATATAAAACTTTCACAACACTTAAACTCAGGTTTAGAATAAATTCGTTAAGCTCTTGCGAAACTCACTTTATAATACATACATAAAATAAACTATTTGAGTGTTACAGAACTAAATACTTAAATCATCCATTGATAAGTGACGTCTCTAACAGCTGAACCCTTTGAAAGGTAAAATAATAATAATAATAATATTAATAATAATAATAATTAATATAATAATAATAATAAATAATAATAAATATAATAATAATAATAATAATAATAATAATAATAATAATAATAATAATATTATTATTATTATTATTATTATTATTATTATTATTATTACTACTACTTATTATTAATATTTTATATTATTATTTTTGCTATCCTTATAATCAAAAGATTCATTAAAAGTATCGACATCATGCTTAACCCTTCTAGGGTAGGGTAGGTGCCTGAGCCCGAGCCTTTAGCTCATAAGACTGTCATTCCCATTTGCCCCCTTGGGGCGGGGATGGCAGACCAGAAAGTCTTAGCTTGTGGCTAGGCCTGGGGACAGTTGGTCCCAAAGATGAGGAGGTACTTGTGCCTCCTCCCATGGGAGACTTAGGTCTCAGACACTGCCTAAACAGGGAGCCAAGGCCGGGCCACCACTTGGAAAAGGCCCGGGCCGGGAGAATACCGGCGAATCTTTAATAATAATAATAATCATTAAAAGTTTAGAATATGAAGATATTAAAGATGTATATGTGACCTGAAGCATAGGAAGAAAATAATTTATTATCCAAATGTTTTGGACCATACTATCAGTAACCCTGGGAGAGTTGTGTGGGTTGTTACTCTTGTACCACACAATGTGTGTGAGTTGTGTGGGTTGTTACTGTTATACCACACAATGTGTGTGAGTTGTGTGGGTTGTTACTGTTATACCACACAATGTGTGTGAGTTGTGTGGGTTGTTACTATTATACCACACAATGTGTGTGAGTTGTGTGGGTTGTTACTGTTATACCACACAATGTGTGTGAGTTGTGTGGGTTGTTACTGTTATACCACACAATGTGTGTGAGTTGTGTGGGTTGTTACTATTATACCACACAATGTGTGTGAGTTGTGTGGGTTGTTACCTTTATACGACTCAGTGTGTGAGAGTCTTGCTGGTTGTCACAGTTATACCAGAGAGTGTGTGAAAGTCTCTCCCTCCAATCTGATATCCAATCTTTCATCACCTAATCTTTTTGTTATCTTCATAACCTTACTCTTTCCTGTATTCACTTTTAATTTTCTTCTTTTACATACCCTACCAAATTCATCCACCAACCTCTGCAACTTCTCTTCAGAATCTCCCAAGAGCACAGTATCATCAGCAAAGAGCAACTGTGACAACTCCCACTTTATGTGTGATTCTTTATCTTTTAACTCCACGCCTCTTGTCAAGACCCTCGCATTTACTTCTCTTATAACCCCATCTATAAATATATTGAACAAACACGGTGACATCACACATCCTTGTCTAAGGCCTACTTTAACTGGGAAATAATCTTCCTCTTTCCTATATACTCCAACTTGAGCCTCACTATCCTCGTAAAAACTCTTCACTGCTTTCAGTAACCTACCTCCTATACCATACACCTGCAACATCTGCCACATTGCCCCCCTATCCACCCTGTTATATGCCTTTTCCAAATCCATAAATGCCACAAAAACCTCTTTAACCTTATCTAAATACTGTTCACTTATATGTTTCACTGTAAACATCTGGTCCACACACCCCATACCTTTCCTAAAGGCTCCTTGTTTATCTGCTATCCTATTCTCCGTCTTACTCTTAATTCTTTCAATAATAACTACTATACACTTTACCAGGTATACTCAACAGACTTATTCCCCTATAATTTTTGCACTCTCTTTTGTCCCCTTTGCCTTTATACAAAGGAACTATGCATGCTCTCTGTCAATCCCTAGGTACCTTACCCTCTTCCATACATTTATTAAATAATAGCACCAACCACTCCAAAACTATATCCCCACCTGCTTTTAACATTTCTATCTTTATCCCATCAATCCCAGCTGCCTTACCCCCTTTCATTTTACCTACTGCCTCACGAACTTCCCCCACACTCACAACTGTCTCTTCCTCATTAATCCTCCTTGCCCTATACACGAAATCACAGCTTCCCTATCTTCATCAACTTCTAACAATTCCTCAAAATATTCCCTCCATCTTCCAATATCTCTAACTCTCCATTTAATAAACTCTCTTCTCCTATTTTTAACTGACAAATCCATTTGTTCTCTAGGCTTCCTTAACTTGTTAATCTCACTCCAAAACTTTTTCTTATTTTCAACAAAATTTTTGATAACATCTCGCCCACTCTCTTTTTACATTGCTTCACCACTCTCTTAACCTCTCTCTTTTTCTCCATATACTCTTCCCTCCTTGCATCACTTCCGCTTTGTAAAAAGTTCTCATACGCAAACTTTTTCTCCCTTACTGCTCTCTATACATCATCATTCCACCAATCGCTCCTCTTCCCTCCCGCACCCACTTTCCTGTAACCAAAAACTTCTGCTGAACACTCTAGCACTACATTTTTAAACCTATCCCATACATCTTCGACCCCATTGCCTATGCTCTCATTAGCCCATCTATCCTCCAATAGTTGTTTATATCTTACCATAACTGCCTCCTCTTTTAGTTTATAAACCTTCATCTCTCTCTTACCTGATGCTTCTATTCTCCTTGTATCCCATCTACCTTTTACTCACAGTGTAGCTACAACTAAAAAGTGATGATATATCTGAGTCGTATAGGTTGTTAATGTTACAACACTCAGTGTGTGAGAGTCGTATTGGTTGTTACTGACTGTTATACAACACAGTGTGTGAGGGTCGTGTATGTTGTAACTGTTATACATGCAGTGTGTGAGTGTCGTGTAGGCTGTTAATGTTATACCACACAGTGTGTAAGATTCGTGTACGTTGTTTCTATTATACAACACAGTGTGTGAGAGCCTTGTAGGTTGATACTGTTATGCCACACAGTATGTGAGAGTCGTGTTGGTTGTTAATTTTATACCACATAGTGTGAGACCCGCGTAGGTTGTTACTGTCATACCACACAGTGTGCGAGAGTCGTGTAGGCTGTTACTGTTATACCACCCAGTGTGTAAGAGGCGTGTAGGTAGTTACTGTCATACCACACAGTGTGCGAGAGTCGTGTAGGCTGTTACTGTTATACCGCCCAGTGTGTAAGAGGCGTGTAGGTTGTTACTGTTATACGAGACAGTGTGTGAGAGTCCTGTAAGTTGTTACTGTTATACCAGTGTGTGAGAGTCGTATAGGCTGTTACTTTTGTACCACACAGTGTGTGAGAGTCGTATAGGTTGTTACTGTTATACCAAGCAGTGTGCAAGAGTCGTGTAGGTTGCTATTGTTATACCAAGCAGTGTGCAAGAGTCGTCCTGGTTGTTGCTGTTATATGACTCACGAAATCGTAATGACACGATGTTTGAGAGTCGTGTTGATTGTTACTGTTATACCACACAGTGTGTGAGAGACGTGCCTAACGCGACAGTCTGGAGTTTTGAGACTATGACCGCGGGCTCAAATCCCGCCCGTGGTATGGTTTGTTGTTGTTATGCCACTCAGTGTGTGTGAGTTGTTTAGGTTGTTACTGTTATACCACACAGTGTGTGAGAGTCGTGTAGGTTGTTACTGTTATACCACACATTGTGTGAAAGTAGTGTAGATTGTTACTGTTATACAACACAGTGTGTGAGAGTCGTGTAGGTTGTTACTGTTATACAACACAGTGTGTGAGAGTCGTGTAGGTTGTTACTGTTATACAACACAGTGTGTGAGAGTCGTGTAGGTTGTTACTGTTATACAACACAGTGTGTGAGAGTCGTGTAGGTTGTTACTGTTATACCACACAGTGTGTGAGAGTCGTGTAGGTTGTTACTGTTATACAACACAGTGTGTGAGAGTCGTGTAGGTTGTTACTGTTATACCACACAGTGTGTGAGAGTCGTGTAGGTTGTTACTGTTATACCACACAGTGTGTGAGTCGTGTAGGTTGTTACTGTTATACCACACAGTGTGTGAGAGTCGTGTAGGTTGTTACTGTTATACCACACAGTGTGTGAGAGTCGTGTAGGTTGTTACTGTTATACAACACAGTGTGTGAGAGTCGTGTAGGTTGTTACTGTTATACCACACATAGTGAGTGTGACTTGTGTAGGTTGTTCCTATTACACACACACAGTGTTTGGAGTCGAGTTGGTTGCTACTGTTACACCACACAGTGTGCGAGAGTCGGATAGGTTTTTACTGTTATATTACGCAGTGTGTAAGAGTCGTGCCGGTTGCTACTGTTATACAACATAGTGTGTGAGGGACGTGTTGGTTATTACTGTTATACGACACATTGTGGGAGAGTCATGTAGGTTGTTATTGTTATATCACACAGTGTGTGAGAGGCGTGTAGGTTGTTATTGTTATATCACACTGTGTGAGACGTGTAGTTACTGTTATACCACAAAGTGTGTGTGAGTTGTGTAGGTTGTTGTTCTTATACCACACAGTGCGTGAGAGAAGTGTAGGTTGTTACTCTTTTACCACACTGTGTGTGAGAGACGTGTTGTTCGTTACTGCTATACCACACAGTGTGTAAGAGTTGTATAGGTTGTTACTCTTATAC